CCACTGTAATAGCTACTGTAAATTGGACAGTGCAGTTATTTTTTTTCACTGTAATAGCTACTGTAAATTGGACAGTGCAGTTAGATTAACAAGAATTTAAGCTTTCTGCCCATATAAGACATGTCTATGTCCTGGAAAGTTTTCTGTTACCTACAACAGTCATGCTGATCACATTAGTGCACGTTAGCTCAACCGTCCCGTATACGGGACACCGATCCCATAGAGGATAATGCAGAATTGAGAAAGAAATTAGACAGAGTGGAAGAACGGGTTGAGAGAGAGAGAGCGAGGGAGAAGGAGAGAGAGATGGATTGGATATACAGAGAGAGGAGGAGGGGGATGGATGGAAGGGGGAACACATCCTGTACAGAACATATTTCACACCTGTTGAACAGCAGCTTCTTTAAGACCCATAATTACACAGACCCATGCCCTGCTGTCTGTCTGCCTGTCAGCCTGGAAGACAGAGAGAGACAGGGACCATGAAGAAGACATGCATGGTGGAGGAATGGAAAAGGTGAATGAGTATAGGGAGGGTGAAAAGGTTCTTGGAAAGCAAAGGGAAAAAGTGAATAAGAGAGAGAGGGAAGAGAGGTGAGTGGCAACAAGATGGAGAGAGAGATGGAAAGAGAGAGAAAGAGAGCGAGATGGATACAATGAGAATTTGTGGGAGGTTATGGGAGTGGAGTCCTGGGGGCAGACAGACAGACAGGGGAAGAGGGTTCTCTATGTGTACTTTGTCTCTCAGTGGCTCTATGGGACAGGGAAGTGGACAGGCACTGAGCTCTCCACCATTGACACAGATCATTTGGCCACCATTTTCCCTGTGTGGTGCTGGAAGAGAGGGCCTTAAAAGGTTCCGCACATTAGCCACCCTTGGTCACTTCCAAGACACACACATCACACACATACACATGCATGCACACATGCTCTAACGTACACACTCACTCATATAAGCATACACGCACGACTAACCTTAAACACATTCATGCAAAGCAATGTATACACACCAATGTATTTCAAATACAAAAAAAAACATAATCATTCACATACGTGTATGAATACACATTTACAAGCACTCACATACCACATAAACCTAAACATAAGCAAATTCAGGCATATAAGAGACAAAGGCATGCTTTCACTACAAACGCACACTTACACAAATCCACATATACAGTGAGGGAAAAAAGTATTTTAATCCCCTGCTGATTTTGTACGTTTGCCCACTGACAAAGAAATGATCAGTCTATAATTTGAATGATAGGTTTATTTGAACAGTGAGAGACAGAATAACAAACAAAAAATACAGAAAAACGCATGTCAAAAATGTAATAAATTGATTTGCATTTTAATGAGGGAAATAAGTATTTGACCCATCTGCAAAACATGACTTAGTACTTGGTGGCAAAACCCTTGTTGGCAATCACAGATGTCAGACGTTTCTTGTAGTTGGCCACCAGGTTTGCACACAGTGCAAGTCATTAAGGTTTCGAGGCTGACGTTTGGCAACTCGAACATTCAGCTCCCGCCACAGATTTTCTATGGGATTAAGGTCTGGAGACTGGCTAGGCCACTCCAGGACCTTAATGTGCTTCTTCTTGAGCCACTCCTTTGTTGCCTTGGCCGTGTGTTTTGGGTCATTGTCATGCTGGAATACCCATCCACAACCCATTTTCAATGCCCTGGCTGAGGGAAGGAGGTTCTCACCCAAGATTTGACGATACATGGCCCCGTCCATCGTCCCTTTGATGCAGTGAAGTTGTCCTGTCCCCTTAGCAGAAAAACACCCCCAAGGCATAATGTTTCCACCTCCATGTTTGACGGTGGGGATGGTGTTCTTGGGGTCATAGGCAGCATTCCTCCTCCTCCAAACACGGCGAGTTGAGTTGATGCCAAAGAGCTTGATTTTGGTCTCATCTGACCACAACACTTTCACCCAGTTCTCCTCTGAATCATTCAGATGTTCATTGGCAAACTTCAGACGGGCCTGTATATGTGCTTTCTTGAGCAGGGGGACCTTGCGGGCGCTGCAGGATTTCAGTCCTTCACGGCATAGTGTGTTACCAATTGTTTTCTTGGTGACTATGGTCCCAGCTGCCTTGAGATCATTGACAAGATCCTCCCGTGTAGTTCTGGGCTGATTCCTCACCGTTCTCATGATCATTGTAACTCCACAAGGTGAGATCTTGCATGGAGCCCCAGGCCGAGGGAGATTGACAGTTCTTTTGTGTTTCTTCCATTTGCGAATAATCGCACCAACTGTTGTCACCTTCTCACCAAGCTGCTTGGCGATGGTCTTGTAGCCCATTCCAGCTTTGTGTAGGTCTACAATCTTGTCCCTGACATCCTTGGAGAGCTCTTTGGTCTTGGCCATGGTGGAGAGTCTGGAATCTGATTGATTGATTGCTTCTGTGGACAGGTGTCTTTTATACAGGTAACAAGCTGAGATTAGGAGCACTCCCTTTAAGAGTGTGCTCCTAATCTCAGCTTGTTACCTGTATAAAAGACACCTGGGAGCCAGAAATCATTCTGATTGAGAGGGGGTCAAATCATTATTTCCCTCATTAAAATGCAAATCAATTTATAACATTTTTGACATGTGTTTTTCTGGATTTTTTTGTTGTTATTCTGTCTCTCACTGTTCAAATAAACCTACCATTAAAATTATAGACTGATCATTTCTTTGTCAGTGGGCAAACGTACAAAATCATATACTTTTTTCCCTCACTGTATAGTGCCGAGTGAAAGTCTACACACCCTTTGCACAGTCTTCACATTTTGCTGCCTTAAAATTACATCTAAAAAGGGATTTAATTCGATTTTTCCCCCTACAGATCTACACAACCTACAAAGTGAAAGGAAGTTAGAGGTCATTTTCTAAATGAATAATAATTTTAAAAATGAAGACGTCTTGATTAGGTGTGTCTTCCTACCTCAGAGTTAATACTTGGTGGAAGCACCTTTGGCAGACATTACAGGTCTGAATCATTTTGAATAATATTCTACCAACTTTGCACAACTCTCAGGGCAACATACATCCATTGTTTTGGTCAGAATCGCTCAAACTCAGTAAATTTGGTTGGGAATCATTGATGGTAATTTCAAGTATTGTGGTGGCAGCATCATGTTATAGGTATGCTTGTCACCAGCAGGAACTGGGGAGTTTGTTAGGATCAAAATAAATATGAAAGGAGCAGAGCCCAGGTAAAACGTTAGAGGAAAACCCGCCTCAGTTTTCTGAATACCTAACCCTGGGATAGAGTTGTATTTTTCAGTGGCACAATTAAAGACATTTTTATTCCAAAGACACACAAGAATGGCTTTCCAGGAGGTGTTAAGTGTTCCTGAATGGTCCAGTCTCCGTCCTGACTTAAATCTGCTTTAAAAAACTGAGACAATGTTTGAATATTGCTGTCCATCAATGATTCCCAACCAAATTTACTGAGCTTGAGCAATTTTTACAAAAACAATGGTTATGTTGCCCTAAGAGTTATGTAAGTTTGGTAGAACCTTGTTAAAAATTATTCACAGCTGTAATGGCTGCCAAAGGTGCTCCCACCAAGTATTAACTCTGGGGTGTGAAATCATACGCAATCAATGCATCATCATTTTGTATTTCTTAGGGTAACACTTTATTTGGATAGTCCATCTGTAGATGCTCTACAGACCATCTAGAGACCATCAGTAACATTTCTACATATCTACTAACCCTAATTTTAACTCTAAACCTAACCTTAACCCTTATCCTAACCCTAAACATAACCCTTACCATAGCAAGCAGTTGCTTATCAACAGATCGTTTGTTGATAGTATGACCATCTGTAGAGCATCTACAGATGGAAAATCTGGACTATCCAAATAAAGTGACCTTTTTTAGTAATTTGTAAAATGTTCGATAATTTTTCTTTCACTTTGAAAATGTGCAGTAGGTTGTGTAGATTGATAGGAAAAACATCTAATTTAATCCCTTTTAAGATTTAATTTTAAAGGGATACTTCTGGATTTTGGAATGAGGCCCTTTATCTACTTCCCCAGAGTCAGATGAACTCGTGGATACCATTTTTATGTCTCTGTGTCCAGCAAGAAGGAAGTTAGAGAGTGTTGGGCGAGCCAATGCTAACTATCATTAGCATAATGACTGGAAATCTATGGGTATCTGCTAGCGATACCCATAGACTTCCAGTCATTGCGCTACCGCTAGTTAGCAATTGCGCTAATGCTTGTTAGCAACTTCCTTCAAACTGCACGCCGATACATAAAAATCTGACTCTGGGGAAGTAGATAAAGGGCCTTATTGCCAACATCCCAAAGTATCCTTTTAAGGAAACAAAATGTGAACTGTGCAAGGGGTGTGTAGACTTTCACTAGTGACTGTTCACACACAATGTTGCTGATAATAAAGTAACCCACATGCTTCAATATCTCTGCACTGATTTGAATGTGTGTGTGTGTGTGCATTCCTACCTGCGCGCCGTGCATGCTTGTATGAGTGTGTGTGCGTGCATGTAAGCGTTAGCGTATGAGGAGTAGATTGAACAGTGAGACCATTCGTCTGACTGGTTGAAGCTTTGAGTGAAGTTTTATTTGAGCCTAGAGAAAACATTAGACGGCCAGAACCTCTAAAATTAGATTGTAACGGAAACGCTTTATTGGCAGTTAGATTACTTAGATTTGCCAATATTTAAACAGACAAGACTATCACCATAGAGACAAAGAAATAAATGGGAATATTGTTAAAACTCTCATAAATATTGTGAAGGTGCTCTTATCGAAGTTTGGTTTGGACGTCATGGTAACAAGGTGATGTTGAGAGTGCTGATAGACTCACATCAGCCTACAGCAAATTGCAGATCATATTAGGTCATATTCGGTCAATTTAAATACCTCAGTATTATTATAATTCTATTACTGTCGATAGTACAGTAAAACAACGCCTTGTGTGGTTTTAATCTTCAACAAATACTGGTCTTATCCTCTGATTGGTTTCTTCCCCAGTCCATCACATCCAGCTCATGCTGCTATTGGCTGCAGCCGTGGCATCGGTCCAGGTCCCAGACCCCTCCTTCAGCCTGTCCAATGAGAGGACTTCGATTGAGAGGACGTATGAGCTGACCAAGTACCTGGAGCATCAGCTGAGAGAGATAAAGGACACCTATGTGAGTACTGTTACTGTATATAGATACTGTGTTGAAGCACATTTATTTTGGAGCATGTCAATGTTTCATTCCACAAGTGTTTGAATTCAACACATATTTGAGAAGCATGGTTCCAGTCTGTTTCTGCTCCAGCCAACCCCTTGGTCTTTGCCATGGGGAGTTTGCTAAAACAGAAACAGGCTGGCACCCAGGCTTGTGTTTGAGCATAACCAATCCATGTCTGATTGTACATGTTGGATTAAATATTCCTTCTCTCCCTCCCACTCCCTCTTTCCATACCCACTCTTGACTGCATCTCTCCCCCCTCTGCTCTTCCTCCATCTCCTCCCTCTGTTACTCCTCCCATCCCCCGTTCCCTCCCTCAGTTATCCTACCTGGGCCCTCCGTTCAGTGACCCAGACTTCTCCCCTCCGCGGCCCAACAGCACAGCCCTATCCCTACCCAGCGCGGCCACCCGTCTGGAGCTGTGGCGGGGCCTGGAGAACCGTGCCAGGCTGGCCCAGAACCAGAGGGCTTACTCTGTTCTGCTGGGGGCGGTGAGGGAGCTGGCCCGCTCCACCCTCTGCCCCTACCTCCAGAGCTCCCTGCTGCACTTTTCTACAGGCCTGGACGGTCTGCTAGGGTCTATATCAGGCCTCATGAACACGCTGGGGTATGCCCTGCCTCCTGCTGGGATCGAGGCGCATTACCCACGTAGGGACATAGGGGGCAATGGAGAGGCGACGGGACGCAGGCCAGCTCCACTTATGAGTCAGGGTCTCTATAAGACAGGGGCGAGGATGGGGACGGGGCCAAGGAGGCATCCCCTTGATAGTCAGAGGGGTGCTGGGACCACCAGAGGGGTGGTGAGAGGACAAAGGGAGAAGAGCACCAGGAGAGAAATTACAGAGAGAAAGAGGGAGAGAGAGAAGGATAGAGGGAGGGGGAGGGAGGGGAGGAGAGCGGAGGTGACTGGGGCTAAGGTTAGGAGTGTGGGATTGAGGCAGGAGGAGAGAGGGGAGCGAGGGAGGAAAGGGAGGAAGAGAGACTCAGAGGATTGGGAGGGGGCCAGTGAAGACAGGGAAGAGGAGGAAGAGTTGGAGAGAGAGGAAGGGAGGGAGAGATGGGGGAGGAGGAGAAGGCTGCTGAGTGTTTCAGAGGAGGCAGAGAGAACAGTGAAGCAGGGTCCACTGGAGTCTGACGCCAGAGTCACTCTGTCCTTCTCAGACAGACAGACCTTCCCCCAACAACAACAACAACAACAACAACTCCTAAACAACAATAACAACAACAACTACGATAACAACAACATCAACAGCTACAACTTCAACTACCACCCCCAAAACAAGGACCGAGCCAGAGAGGGGGATTCAGAAAACAGGGCGACAGAGGAGGAACATTACATCATCAGAGAGTCTGCATCCCTCCTCTCCTCCTCTCCATCGCTCCATCCCCAGCGTCGATCCCCTCGCTCCATATTCTCCCCCACCCTCCACCCCCCCCTCTCACCCCTCTCCCTCTTCTACCCGTTTGGCACGGGGACAGGGGAGGGACACACCCTGTTGTCAGAACCAGTGCCCCTGTCATTGAGGAGGGGTCCCCCCCTGCTGCCGCCCCCTCCCCTGTCTCCCCTCCTGTCCTCCTCCCCTCTGCTGGCGGTGCGGCCGGCGCTCAACGACTTCTCCAGGAAGGTGGAGGGCTTCTGGGTACTGAGGGAGCTGCAGAGCTGGCTGTGGCGCTCCGCCAAGGACTTCAACCGCCTTAAGAAGAGACTCAGAGTCTGACAGACTGAGAGAGGACACACGCAGAGACAGGGGGATTGAAGGAGGACACACACACACACACACACACACAGCCTGAGAGAACACACACAAACAGAGACATACCCACACATAGAACACACACACATTATCACACAAACAGTGTTGGAATACCTAGCTTGTGCCGAACCATGGAAAAGGGGCTTTCTGGCCAGACATCAGCCTGGGCACAGTGGTACATCCGGGGATGGAAAATGACCAATTGTCTGTGTCTCTGTGTAGACAATATGAGCACTGTCAGCAATGACATGACATCATGACATAGCAGGTCATTGATCCGCCATTGGAACTGATTTACTGGACGTAACGCCTCACATACTGGACATAAAGGTGGTAGTCAAGCAGATAGACAGTCATGTCATTGACCGAGAGCTAATTCAGAACCACAGTGAATCACTAGACATTAATCTTCGCCCAGGGAGGAAGAAAGAGTTTTGAATGGAGAGAGACAAAGAGAAGAAGAGGGAGAGGAAATGGCAGGATGGAGAGAGGGTAGAAAGAGAGAGAGAGAAAGGGGGAGTCTGAGTCAGGAGCTGACCGTTGGAGACGGGGCGGTGGGAGTTGCTGAGTAATCAGAGATCTGCTGACTCTTACAGTAAACCCTGCATAGACACCCACCGGACAGGCACAGTACCGTCAAACTCACACACACACGCACACACACATATACACACACATTTGTGAATTGTCCAACTGTTTTTATATGGAGTTGTTGATACTTTCAACTTTGGAATGGGCATCTCAGACTTTCCTTTTGCTTGTTTCAGCCAAATGCAACACAAAACCCCTAACCTTGGCATGGTGTGGTTTCTATCAACTGCCTTGTTTCTTTACAGCAGATCTGGGACCTGTACAGTACCCTCCAACAGTGTTTATGTATTAGATTATATCTGTGATATTTATTGAAGATGTTTTATTTATTATTTTCTTGTGTGAATAATACTGTTCTTTATCACGTTGGAGATGGAGAGAATCAAATATGAACTTTTGTACTGAGATGAATGTTATTGGTCATTTGGGGAGGAAGAGAATCAAGTATGAGCTTTTGTACTGAGATGAATGTTATTGGTCATTTGGGGAGGGGTGTTTGGGGAGTGAGGTTGTTTTTGAACGTTATGGCTTTGACTGGGTTGGTTTGGGTGAGGGGTACAACTGAAAGATGTGGAAGGGGGTGCATTTCCCAAAACAAAGAGCGACTCACATTCATCAAAAACAAGAGGCAGGGAATGAAAGAGTTTTATTTGTCTGTCTTGACAAAATTTATGATCCCTCTTTTTCTTTCATCTCTCCCCTTCCCCCCATCATCCCTCCCTCTCTGTTTTCCATCCTATTATCTCACGCATCTCCTCTTCCCATAAATATCCCTCTAACCTGCCTTGTAACAGACAGAGCTTATGAGCATAAACACACAGGTACAAACACAACCCTTTAACACTCCCACCTTCACCCCCTCTGTCTCTTTCTGTCTCTCTCTCTCTCTCTCTCTCTCTCTCTCTCTCTTTCCCTAAACCCTCCCTCCATCCATCCCTCCCTCCCTCCCCTCTCTCTCTCTCTCTCTCTCTCTCTCTCTCTCTCTCTCTCTCTCTCTCTCTCTCTCTCTCTTCCATTTCCCTCACACATTTTTTTCTTCACTTTCTCCCCCTCTCGCTACTTTCTGTGTTTCTCTCTCTACACACACACACACACACACACACACACACACACACACACACACACACACACACACACACACACACACACACACACACACACTGACGTTCAAGCTCCCAAACAGAGAGACACAGAGTGAAAGGGAGTGGCAATAGTTAAGTATTTGTATTTCTTATGGATCCCCATTAGCAGCTACTCTTCCTGGGGCCCAGCAAAATTAAGGCAGTTATACAATTTTACAACACATTAAGTGTGTGCCCTCAGGCCCCTACTCAACTACCACATATCTACAACACAAAATCCATGTGTACATGTGTGTACGGTGCTTATGTTATCGTGTGTCTGTAGGAAGTTACTTATCCTTGGTTGGTGTTACACACACACACACACAGCGCAGTGTGTTTTTTTACATTTGGTAAGAGACATTAAAGGGTTCGCCACCAGTGGTCAACAAAGACCACTTTGTGCCAGTGTGTGTGTGTGTGTGTGTGTGTGTGTGTGTATCTGTGTGTGTCTGTGTTTGGCCCTGTGTGGGCTGTATACGCAGCACGTGTGTGATTTCATTCATGTGTCATAAGCCGGTATGAATGAAGCTCCCCATTCACAACTATGACATTTCTACTCTCTTTCTCTCCCTCAACACTCAGTCTCAATATTTCTCTCTGTCTGTATTTCCTCTGTATGGATGAGTCGATTGATGATGTAACTGGTGACAGTGTTTCCCCCATGGTTTGTCTGACCACTGGCATTTTGTTGTTATTTATATATTATCTTCCATTCCCTAAGGTTCCCTATAGCGGCCTGGGGAAGCCCTGTCCAGTTGAGTGGCAGACTGTGATCTAATGGAAGAGTAATGGCCTACAGAGGAGTTGACGTACGTCCTCTTGTTAAGAACTTGTATTTGCTCTGTGAGAGGCGACGCTCTCTCTCACTGTGTTTCTCTCTCTCTCTCTCTCTCTCTCTCTTCTTCTCCTCCTTTCTGTAGACACCCAGATGCTCTTTCCTAAGCACTCTCAGACCCCACCCCTCCCGCGTCTCTCTCTCTCTTTCTCTCTCTCAGTCACTGTCTCTCAATATCTTTCCCATATGTCCTTCTGAATCCCTCTCTTCTTCTGTCTATCCATCTGTCAGTCATTCTATCTGTCTGTCTGTCCGACTACATGGTGAGCTGGTTGTCATTCACACTATTTCACCGCTAGGTCATCCATTTGTCGTTCTCTCTTATGTTACAATCAGACTCTTTAACTGAAATTCCCTCTACCACCCCCGCATTCTCTCCCTCTTTCTCTGTGTATCTTCAGTTCTCTCTTTCTTATTCTCTCCATTTCTCTCTCTTTCTCTCTCTCTTTCCCTCTGTTCTGCTCACCTGCAGCACATAAAAATTCCTTTTCTCTTTCTCCAGAGAATTGTTGAGTCGCCCAGGGATTTACTGCATTCCTCCTCTCCCTCACTCACTCACTTTTTCTCTCTCTCTGTTTTGGCACAGCTACATAGCATTGATTTGGCTTATCCTCTCTTCTTTCTTTTTAACACTTATCTCCCCTTTTACTCTCTCTCTCTCTGCATCCTTTCCTGTCTTTACATTAATTTATTCTCAGTCACATTCTTGAATCTACCTCCCCCCTCCTGTCTCTCTCCTCCACCCCACCTCACCCCACCCCACCACTCCCTGGCCCATCCCTTCCTTTTACCTCATGGCACCCACCTGCCCCACCCTCTCCCTCCCCCCACTCTGGGCCATTGCCATGCAATGGAACTTTCCGCCTCCACTGATTTAGCTGGAGGTTGCAGGGTTGGGCTGGGGGGGGATAAGCTTTATGAGTTAATCAATTAATCCTCCTTGTGTGTGTAACCACAGAGGTGTGAGTTCTCTTTCATCAGGCTGTGTGTGTCTGTTGACTCTGCTCCCTAGGAAAACACAGCCTGATGTTGCCCTACGTGTTAAAAATGTTTTCAAAATGTTTTCAAAAGACATTAGGAGGGTGGTGTTTGATTCAATTCATAGGATGTTTGAATTATGTTTAAATGGTGTTTGAGAGGTGTATGAGTGTTTGTGTTTGTGCGTGAGAGAGAGAGATAGAGAGACAGAAAGAGGAAGGATACAGCAAAATATAGGAGCCATTTGAATAGCTCTGTTTTCTGTGCCAACCTATCGTCAGGTATATCCAACATGACGGAATCTGACTTGGACTCTAGATTTGTTTTGTTCTGTTTATGAGTAATTATTTTCAACAGCTCTCTCATAATGTGATATGATTCATGTTTTCTATCAGAGAGTGTCAGTTCTGTAGCCTTAAAAGGAGTTCTGGTAGTGGGGGAAGTCACTGGAGCGTTTTACATGTTGGCATGTCGTGGTCTGTGTTCCATGTTGACATGTCACGGTTTGTTAAAGTCTGTACTCTGTATGGCTAGTTAGGAAAAGCTGTCCACCCACTGCTCTGAGTCTCCGCCGGCGTGGGGCACACACTGCTTACATCCTCTCTCTCTCTCTCTCTCTCTCTCTCTCTCTCTCTCTCTCTCTCTCTCTCTCTCTCTCTCTCTCTCTCTCTCTCTCTCTCTATTCTATCTCTGTCTCTCTGTCTTTCACTCTGTCTCTCTTTCTCTCTTCTCCCCCTCTCTCTCTCACTCTGTCTCTCTCTCTTTCTCTCTCGCTCTCTCCCTGACAGTGTGAAAGGTAAATAGAAAGCTTTTAGTGTCTGAGGAGAGCAGGGTATAAAAGACCAGAGATTACAGAAGAGCCACAAAGGCTCCTCATCTCCCACTCTGGCAGGCACACACACACATACACACACGCATGCACACACACACTCACTCACACACACACACACACACACACACACACACACACACACACACACACACACACACACACACACACACACACACATACAGACAAAGAGAGAGACACACACACGAAGAGACATACTCAAATATTATTTATCTCTCACAGAAAACTATTTCAAGGAACCATGAAAAACAACTAAATATTTCCCCAGTTTAACAGTGGAAAATACATGCAGGGCATATTTTTTAATGGTCCATTCAAAACCCCATGGTGATATGATGCTATTTCTTCATTCCGTCGCGCTGTCTGAGTTTCTTTTTCTTCATTCCCTTTTGTTTTTTGCAACTCAAACACATTTAGATTGGACTAGACCAAAACAAACTCAATCCAAAGTATGTGTCTGTCTTCCCAGTGAGAAATGGACAGGCCTGGACTTTGATATTGTAATGATAAGTTATTCTCGTTAAATACAGTGATCATGGCTAGTTGGTGTTAAAAGGAGGTGATGGTCTGTGACAGTGTTGATTCC